AAATTATACTTGAACCACTGGAGGACACACGCGTGTCCAAAAAATAAGTCCTCTATTCAGTCCCATGTCAGAAATAATAACAAGGCATTTGTAGTGTTTACTTATTTTTTATATACATGAAAAAAATGTGCCAGGCACACACTTTAAAGGTGGAAAACAAAATGAGAAACTGACTTTCCTGGTCTAAAGAATTTTTTTATTTATTTTTTTTTACCTTTCTTGTAAAGCGTTATTCAGACGTATACCATCAGCTGGTCCTAAAATTTGGATTAAATCGTCTCGATTCAGTCTCAGTAAATCTCCACCTGATAAGAAAATATAAAACAAGATATTGGATAACATAGTCCCTGTGTTTTTTTTTATTGGCGATGCCGCTCCGCTAGGATTGCCCTTATAATCATTTTTGTCATTTTGTGTGTGTGATTTCCAGTGTTTTCACGTATTATTTCTTCTGTGATTTTTTTGGCTTGGCCGATTTTTCGGAATAGCTTTCACGCCAAATGTATCTCCTCCTACAAATTTAGGATAAAACACTTCAGACATAGCTCATTCTACGCAGCTTGAGTGTGGGCACAAAGTTACTATTTCAATTTTTGATATCTTTTTTCATTACCGAGAAATTTCACCAGCAACGGCTTGTAACTCCTCTGTGATTTTTGGCTCAGCTGATTTTGTTCATACTTCACAGGTAGGTCGTACCGCCACTAATTGGAAAAAAATCCTGGCCCACCACTGCCATTGCAACATCCAAAAACTGATTTTTGAATACTTTCCTTCCCAATGGTTTAACTTCCAGTTTTGTAATATCAGTGTTCAAATGATCATGCTTTTTACTTTGGCTACGTTGTGCACTGGTGAGAGATTACCGGTGCCGACATTGTTACACTATATCAGCGTAATCCCAATGCAACTTTGAACTTTGAATTAACTGTAAATGCTGCCTTCAATCTAGAAAATACTACTGCAAAAAAGTTGGAAATAATAAATGTAACAGCAGAAGTTGTCCTAGTAATAAACTAAGTGATTTCTAAAGACTGAATGTGTTTTGCGAACTTCGTATACAGGGCCTATTTAGTTATAAACCAATGTTAGCTTCAAATTGATTATAACAAGTCATGTCAAGACAGAATCCTCGTTGTTAAAACAGAATTTGAAATGTACATTGTATGTTAATAAGAATAACACAATCATGGCATATGTGCCCCCCCCCCCAAAAAAAAACAACTAAAAACATGATTTTGTGAATACCCTGGTCACTAAGTCAAATGAGTTCGGTATTTTTTCTACCATGAAATAATTAAATTTTTACTGCATGAAAACCACGGCACTGTTGCATGCAGTTTTGTGAAAATTCCTCAAACGTTGAGCATGATTACCTCACTATATTAGATGTTTCAGTGTGCCCTGAGTTACAAGTTCAACGTGTACTATTTACTTGTAATCGTGGGCAAGACATTACAGTTGTCTACATCATCATTTTTGGCAATATATGGCAGCTAGGATCATACACTTCAAAGAAAGTTTGAAAAATTAAAGTTATACTTAGTGCACTGACAAATAATCAAAGTAATAATGTACAGTGTTCTCAAGCTTTACTTGTACAGGGTTAAACACAACACAAGTAATAATGTACAGTGTTCTC